AAAAGTCATCTCAACTTTGACCAAGCATAACTTTCTCATACTTTATGAGAAATGACCCATCCAAAGCTCATTTTGAATATAATTCCATGATATACAATCCATGTTCAGCTCCCAAGTTCAAAATATGCACTCACAAGAAGTAATGAATTTGGACATTATAGGTCATTTTGAAAAGTCAACAAAAACACCTTTTTTGTCAAAGCTTCATACATGAGAATGGAATATCAAATTGAGATAAGACCAAAATAGTTGCTTAGAGGACATCTCAAGCTTTCTAAAAAGTCCAAGAACACCTTCAAAGAGTCAAAATTGAGGAAGTTATTCATTGGTGAAGTTGACCCTTTTTGCAAAATTGCCAAAAGTCAACTATGCCTAAAATTGTAAATTTTGCTTAATAGGCCCAATCTTTTGCACTTGTTTTGAGTTGGAAACATGGTCCACGAGCCCTAGCCTTTACCACTTGTCATTATCTTGTTTTTATTATTTATTTTTATTTTTATTTGAATTAAATCAATTTAAATCAAAACAAATCATAGAAAATCTAAAATATTGAAAACTCAAGATTTTTTTACATATTTCAGGTCTTAAATTCCAGCTAGCATGAGATCAAATTCGTGTAAAGGCATGGAGTGCACAAAAAGATTGGATTTGGACTATTTTTGGAAAGATATTCAAGTGTATCAAATCAAAATCAAATGCAATGATGGAGGAAGATTGAGCACATTCTTTCAACCCTAATTCATTCCTCAATACATATAGAAGGAATGCAGACCTAAAACAAGGCGAGAGAGAGGCGCAACAAGGAGAACCAAACTTGAAAAAACACCAAAAAAGTGCAAACTTGAATTCATTATTCTAGGCAATTTCAAAGCTTCCTGATCATTCCAATCGTTTCCTGGGATCAGAAGCAACATATACCAATCAAGAACAAGCCTTTTCCAGTAAAAAAACGCACTGTAAGTCATCCTCGATATTGCTTCTTTTTTGAAATCGAACAACATCATTCTTATACTTGTAGCATAAAATAATTGTATATTATTGTTCACCATCATATTTGCAAGCTTCCTGTAATATTCAATTGTGTTTTCATGGCCTATATTGGATTTCACCATTATTAGGGTTTCTTACTTCAATTTGGGATCTTCGTTTACAGGAAAAATTAGGCTATGAAAGGGGTACCATTGTGTACAGCAGGTCCAGACAAAGCCATCCATGGCTCTAGTTTTGATTTATCTTACTCATGCTTGATTTTGAGAAATGGCAGGGATATAGTGACGGACAAACGTCCGTAGGTAAAAGTCTAGGACTTTTACCAATGGAACAAGGTTGAAGATGACTGCGTGGCACACTTCCATTGGATCATTCAAACTTCTGGCGCGCGTTTTTATTATTTTCCACTAACTCACTTTATTTGCATATTATATATTTTTATTATTCTATGAACAAATGAAGCAGCTAGTTCAGTTGGTTGCCAAGCATGGGAAAGTACCTTGGGGCCTGGGTTCGAATCCCAGATCCCCCATTCCTTTCATATTATTTTTTCTTCATTAATCAGGTGCATACACGAGCCAAAGGACCATCATGCATTCTCACAATCCAATCTTCCAAGTGGCCAGATCCAAGGGCCATCCATGAAGGAGCACCAAAGGCATGGTCAAACGCATGGCATGAGATTGCAAAGAGTCAAACGTGGACCTCTTTGTCTTGGGCCCAGATTGCTGTTTACACCCCCCAAGCTGCTCTTCTCAGGCCCATTTTCTCTATATCTTTTTTTTATTTTGTTTTATTTAATTTAACTTATTTATTTTACTAACAAATTAATTATTTTCTTTTTATTAAAAAATCACAAAAATAATATTTTTCACCAAATTAGGTTTAGACATTATTTTTTAATCAAAAATTAAATTAATTTAATTAGGTTGTTAATATTAGATAACTGTATTTCCTTTTGTAAATAATTAAAAATAATTAGAAAATTAGGGTTTTGTCTAAATTTAATTATATTTCATTTTTCCTAAAATAACCAACACACAAAAATAGGCAATTTATTTATTAATTAATTTAATTAGCTAATTAATTGTATATTTAATTTTAAAACCTAATTCTTTTCTTAAAAAAATAATTAAAAAATAACAAAAACATTTTTTCTTTTAATTAGGTTAGAAAGGGTCAAAACCCAAGTTCTCTCTCGTTCTAATTTCATCGCGCGCGCTTTATTGTTTTATTATTTACCATATTGATGTAACTGCCTACAAGTTGTAATAGCTTAATTAGGACTTTTACTTTCATTTATCGCTTTATTATTAAAGGGATTGTTTTTGGCTATGTAAATACCCAAGCCTTGTAATAGCTTAGTTTAATTTCCGCACTTTAAATTTCACAAAATATTAACTGTTAGATGTATGAATAATTAGGGTTGCATGTCAAGAATGTATGTAAACTTTAAAACGGTTAGATAACCCTAAAATGTGCAAAGATAAATAAATTTGAAACTGAATCACTCGCACATGCGCACTCCTAGGGTACACTTCCACTTGGTTGCCTTCGGTAAACGGTCATTGAGTATAGGATATTTTAGTGGTCGTCCTTTTGTCCAAAGATCAAATTTGCCTCGGAAAGGTTGCCTCGGATATTGTTGCCTCGGATAATTAATCTAAGACATTAGGGTTACTACTAAGACGTCCTAACATTGCTTTAGTGACCGTACTTCCCTTTCGAATTGACCCTCAAACTCCAACGACGGTGCTACCTACTCACTAATAGTGGGATATAGCTGTCTAAAGGAAACAAACATAGAACAATTCTTTTTTCGAGTAGGTAGATGCTAGTAGGTACTTGATCAAAACAAACAAACTTTTTCACACTTACACTCTTTTCAAACAAAGTTTTTAAAACAACTTTGTAACACTCTTGAAGACAGAAGAAAGGGTTAAATCGAAGTAAAACAAAAACTTTTTTCAAATCAAACACACAGAAGCAATTTTAAAAATGATGAGTGAGTACCTAAGAGCCCGTAGAAAACTACGGATAGAAAGGGTGCTAATACCTTCCCTTTCTATGATCTACCCCCCGTACTCAAAATCTCGAAAAAGGAATATTTCTGTGCTTTTTTCCTTTCCAGTTGGATAAAATAAAAGTCGGTGGCGACTCTTGCTTACCGCAACATTTTGCAAATACAAACGCAAAACGCAAACCAGCATTCCTAAAAACAGTCTCGGTTCTGGCCACCGTATCAAAATAAGCACACACACATTAAAACATTTTAGAAATGATTTTATCAAGAGAAAACATCTTTAAAATATCTTGGAGTTATGTCAGATGACTTAGAAGTTGTGGAAATAGCTAGAGGAAAAATTTGTCTTATCTAATCTATTGGAGATTTTGTCTAATCGATTAGATTAGATTAGTTCAAACTTACGCCCTAAGCTATTTAGGAAGCACCTTAATGATGTGCAATGGCTAGATATATTTTCTATCCTTTTAAAGAACTCATAGTTGATAATTTTTCAAATTCTAACCGATTAGAATAAATGTTAATCTATTAGAGAATGGGAAAAATTAATTAATTGCAAATTTCATTTTTGGTACACCTATTATCTATAAATAGAGGCTCATTTCCTCATATCAAACTATCCATAATCGTGTTTTGACATTATCATCTCTCTCTCTCTCTAATTTTTATTTTAACTTTCTCTCATTAGATGTTATATCCAAATGCTTTTGTGAGGAAAGTCTTTTTGTGAGTGAGGTTACTTGTGTAATTCGAGAAAGGGTAGAATTGTAAATTTTACTAAGGGAATCATTTATATAGCCTTGGTTGAATACTATCCAATTAGGGATTATTTATGGTCTGAAGCCAAACCTGATAAAAGGTTCGGTTGGGGAATGTGTGATCATTTCTAGGTATAAGATAATATGTTGTTAAAATCTTCCTTGGTTCTTGGTTAGCCTGGTTAAAACTGAAATAGGTTAAAGATTAGCTTGGTTTTAAAATCTTCATAGGTTAGAGATTAGTACGGTTAAAATCTCAGAATTTGTTTAGATATCCTGTTAAAAATCAAAGGAATCAATCTCAAATATTTTGGAACTTGAAGACTAACCGCTCCAAGTTCTGTGTTCGTAGAAAGGAGACTAACTGTTTCACTCCACCGTTGTGAAGGAAGATCGACCACTTCACTATTAGTAATATATTGAAGAAGAGATGCAAATGCTCATATGTATCGTTTTGTAATATTTGGTTGAAGGTCAATCATCATTTCCTTGTATAATGGGTTCCTGGGTCTTTCCTACTAAAAAATCTCTAGCATTATTGGAAACTCTCAAGACCAAGTCTTGGGGAGAAAAGTAGGTTCATTTTGATTTGATCAAACCTCTATAATTCTCTGTTCTCCTCTTCTTCCCTTAACTATTGACTTTCTACTATTTACTTTCCATTGCCTATTCTTTTAAAATATTTTTAAACTCTAATTTAAGTTGCCAAAAGTATTCAAAACCAAGTTTTTTCAAACCACACAATTCAACTCATTCTTGTGTGTGAAGTCTCAAGTACAACAGTATACAAGGGATCCCCCAAGACTAAAGCAAACAATAAAACAGTCAACATTGAACTCTAATAAAATTGTGAACTGTAATAAAGAAAATTAAAACCAAAAAGAAAATAAATAATTTTTCATTCACCAACTCCTCGTCCAGGACCACCTTAAAAGGGTCCAGAGGGCTTAAATCTAGATGGGGAAAAATGAGGGATATTTGCCTCATCGCCTCTTCAAAATTATGAACATAGGTTGCCATGATATCATACGTAAGCTGAGAGACCCGCTCCTTTGTATCCTCAAGAGCGCTTTGGGTTTCCTCTAGTGACTTCTTCAAATCCTCCACGGTTTTCTGCTGGACATGCGACTGAGAAACTATTCCTTTGGATAGCACCTTCATATCATCTCTCCTTACCTTTATTTGCTTCAGTGTCGCCCTGTTTTCCCGGGTACACTTAGTCAGATTGGTCACCTAGACTGCATTCTCCTTAGGGTGTCAGAACGCTTCTCCCTTAATGTTTTTCCAACCAAAAAGTATCTCACCGACTGGACCTCCAACAAAGTCGATAGTTGAGTGAGAGATATGGTAGAAAGCATATGATAATCACTTGAGAAGTTCCTAGGGAAGAAGAAGAAATGATCGACAAAAGCCACGACATCAGATGAAGAGTTGTTCCATAAAGAGAGTTCATGGGGAGGTTGAGTGTCCACCAGCCTCTCATCCCCAATACCTTCTCTTGGGTTCCCTAATAGACCGATGAATATCTCCTCACTCTTGGGGTATTTATAAGGATGGTCTCCTCCAACCGAGAGATCTTACATTGCGACATCCTTTGATCGTCAGAGGTGATGCGAGATAAAGATCGTATATCTCGTTGCTCAACTGATTGGTTCTTTACCAAACACTCCCATTTCTCATCAAAAGGCACTACCATCATACCGCCTACATATGATAAACTGTTAAAGAGGGTAAATACCAATGGAACACCAATAAAAGGTATTTTCCTATACATATGCACTCCTCCACTCTATTGTTGTCTTCACGTTCTCGAGTGATAAGGGTACTACACTCCAAGGGGCAGAAGCACTCTAAAACATAAATTACTTCACGATCCAAGGTCAGGAGGACACATGAGTATAGCCTCACAATGAATTTAGGATCAGGGGTCCAAGAAAAAGGGAATATGGGCTCGCCTTCGCTCCCCACCATAATGAGATTGTGTATCCCTCTTATCTGTGCAAATTTGTCCTTCCAATCTTCATAAGGACTAGCGATGGGCTTTAAACGCATACCTAAAAAAGGGTGTAAAGTCACCTAGCCAATTCGGGGAAGAAACTTCGTCCTAAAAAAGTATAAAAGTACCCTGGTGAAAGGAAGGCGACACCCCCAAGTGAAGGCAGACTATCTGAAAGGCCCTAAGTATAACCCAAATATTTGGAGTAACCTGAGAAGGGGTTACATTAACAGCGGTCAAAATATCCATTACAAAAGAAGTAAAAGGAACCAAAACCCCTAAACCATAGATAACAGGAAGATAGAGGTAGAAGTAAAGGGTGGTCAGATCATCAGAGATATACATATCTGCTATCTCATCCCTTGAATAATGCTCCATGAGCACATCGCTCTCTCGTCTTGTTCTGGAAAAACTGATGCCATGGCGAAATTTGTTGATCATGTCTGCAGTAGAGTACAAGGAGGCTATGTCTCATATATGGATGCACATAACTTTTCTCATCATAGTAAAGGAAAGTAAGGGTTTGAAAAAGTAAAAGTCTAAACGCATGAAGTTTTTGAAAAGATAAAGGAAGTGGTGAAGCAATACCTCGAAAAATAAATAGGAAGTGGTGAAGCAATACCTCCGAAAATAAATGGGAAGTCCAAGGAAACGAACTTAGACATTCATTCAATAGGCTAGCTCAAGAAGAAGGGAAATGTACACGCCTGAATTCCATGTGTTAACACGGGAGATTGATTTGTCTTCTCGAGAAATATGATGATGAGGTACATTAAATGCTACCTGTGCCTCTTCTACTGTACTCAATTTGGCCAAATTGGTTTATGTTTGGGTGTCTCAAAATATCACCTCAAAACGGACATGCTTCCCCAAATTTGTTAAACGCCCATGACACGTAGACACTTGCGAGCCCTTACACTTTCAACTGAGAGACTCACCTACTATTTCACTCGCCCCCCTCTCTAAGGGACTGGCCTGTGAGGGGAGCATCACTGTCAGTGACATCTTCCTCAGTCAAGATAATCACCCACAGGGCGAGGGGCACATTCTGGAAAGGAGAGTAGTTATAAACATTTCACCCTTTCAACGAAAATTCCTCATGCTTGAGGGACTGTGTAGTGTTATATTTGGTAAAGTCATAGATTAGGGCGCGCTTGCCTAACAATGGGTCCGCCCGAACAGAATTCAAGGGAGTAGCCCAAGAAGTCCACCTAACATGGGAGTCAAACGAGAGAAAGTCCTCACAAACCATGAGAAGATAGGTGGTCAGCAACATCCCCTAGTAAGAGTGGGGAGAATAAGACCATGTTTAGGGGTAAAAATGGTAGGCCTCAAGAATCTCTATAAATGCACTAACCCTTAAGGGGATATAGGGATTATTAAGTCATACACATTTACTAAGACTCGGAGAGCATTTTGGTCATATTAGCTTTAACATCGTCAATCTAACCTCTCGCCTAAAACCCATCAATGCCGAACACCAATAAGGTCTCTCACCTCACATGAGTTGGCCCCGTAAATAGCCTCATAAACCACCATACAAGAATACTCACCACTGTGAGCTAGCCCTGGACTATCTACTAGGGCCTCTAAGTTCCCTTGCCCTTATAGAGGAAACATTCACACACCTGTAATTTTTGAACAACATGTTATTCTTATCAATCATAATAAAATTGATTAGTTTACCCCTGTACATCTCGGAAATATTAGGCCCGATCGGGTAGTATAATCGGCAAAATAGATGATTAAGTTGGTAGTCAAAGAAGCAAACCGTGGTGCAACTCGGCTAAGGAGTATTAGGTGGTCATGATACCTCCAGGTAGCGGCCCGTATATAGCCTAGACTTGAATAAGGTTGGTGACCGAGACCACCTGCCCATAGTCGGACATCAACTCAGTTTATTAATGCTCGTAACCTCTGATGATGCATTTACTACAACGTTACACAACTTTAATCACCTCCATTCATTGGGACGGTGGAGGTTATATGGTTATGGAACTCAAGAGTCACTCATTAACCGAGGCTCTTGATGATATAAAGAAGGAATACTATATAAGGGCTTCTACAAGAGGGATAAGCAAGACACATTTCTTAGGAAAATACACACCATTGACGTAGCTCCCAAATCCCCAATAATCATACAAACCTACTTTCGTGGCTTTCCTCACCTTCACTGAGGAAGCTGCAAATATTTGTTCTACGCAAGAACATTGACACCCACCATGGGGCCTGCTAAAATTATCCTAGGTCACACTTCAACACTCTTTCACCAAAATGTCATTTGAAGGAGATCCCCCAGACATGGCGCAATTGTTAGCCGTGGTGGAGGCTCTAAGATAGTAGAACGAGACTCTGAGGACAAAGTCACTGACTTACAACTTAAAATCCTAGGATACAAACAACCAGAAGTGGAACTCCAATAGCCTCAGCCATTGTCTCAAGCCATGGGATGATCAAGTCCTAGAAAACTTTATGTCATCATCGCTAACAACTTACAACGATAAAACTGATCCTCGGGAGCATGTTATTGCCATCAACAATCAAATGGAAATAATAGGCCCCACTTACTCACTAAAATGTAAGTTGATGGTTGGCACCTTCAAGGACGTTGCTCTCTAATGGTATATGAGCTTACCCTAACTATCCGTGGAAATTTACTCACACCTGACGAAGAACCTGACAAAGTAGTCCCTTAAAGAATACTTGGCCCAGTTCAATGAAGAGACTATTAAAGTGTATCATCCCAATCAAGAGCTATTCATGGGGGCATTTCAGCATGGCCTTCGGGCCGAGAAGTTCAATGAGTCCCTAGCCGAAAAACCAGCATCCAACATGGATGAAATCATTACCAGATCCGAATGCTACATAAAGGGTGAGGAGACTAACCTGGAGAAACAATCCAGGATACCTTGGATACAAATAAGACCAAGGAAGAGGGGTCGGGAAGGAAGCCAAATTCTATCCGGACTTCCTCAAGGGAAAGGCCCCAAAAACGAATAACTCAAAGGCCAAATTTACGTCCCTTTGATCCAGACGATATGGTAACACCCTGAAACCAAGAAAGGCAAAAGTTTACAAGAGGTAGCGCATCTGAACCTGATCCTAGAAGCACCAAATAATAAAAGGGGAGTCAACATTGTGTTGGGAAAGGATGCTAGGGCTTGCTGCAATTACCACTGACTCCAGGGGCACCATATCGATAATTGCCTCCAATTACATAAAGAAATCGAGGCACTGATACAGAGAGGGAACTTGCTAACTTATGTGAAAGATAACAAAGCTCTGGCCGAGAAAAGAGATACCTGGAAAGAGGATAAAGACTCTAAATAACCCTCCCAAAATAAGGGGAAGGGTATAGAAGAACAACATGAGACCAAATTTGCTCGCCATACCCTCAACACCATCGCTGGTGGATTCGTTGGTGGCAGAGAAACCAGCTCGGCTAGGAAGAAATACGCATGTACCATGATGCACATATCTGAATACATAGCCAAGGTCTGAGAACAGAATTTAAATCCTGTTAGCTTCTCCAAAAGGGACATTGTCGAAATTATGGCCCATGAGAATGATCATATGGTCATTAAAGTACAAATAAGATATTGGAGCATGAAAAGGATGCTAGTAGATCCTGGCAGCTCAACCGATATGCTCTATTGGGAAGCCTTCAAGGGAATGGAGATTGATACCGTTGAGCATCTACCCTTCAATGTTACTTTAGTCTGATTCTCTGGCGAGAAGATGCAAGTATTGGGACACCTTCCGGTACTAACTACCTTCAAAAGTGGCGTGAATGCTAAAATAGTCAGAGTAAGATATTTGATCGTTAATGCTGCTTCACCCTACAACATCATTGTAGGAAGGCCTTCCTTTAATTCCTTGGAAATCGCTCTCTCCACCCTGTACCTCACTATGAAGTACCCTTTGAGGGATGGCCAGGTAGGGGTGGTTGAAGGTGATCAAGGATTGGCAAGAAAATTTTATAAAGATAGTCTGAAGTTAAATAAGAAGGCACAACCCAAAGAGCCTAGACACTCTATTGAGCTTAAAGTCAACATGATCGATATAGATCCATGCAACGGTTCGCCAGAAGATAGCCTTTCTCCTCATGATGAAATGAAGAAGGTCTAGATCGGTACCACACCCTATGAAATAACGTATATAGGAGGTAACCTTTCTCATAAGGAGGAGATGAAAATTGTGAAGTTATTAAAGGAAAATGTCAACTTCTTCACATGGAAGCCCTCTGATATGCCGAGAATAGACCCCAACTTCATGTGCCATCATTTGGCATTAAACCCAAATACAAAGCCAGTATCTCATAGAAAGAGGAAAGGAAGAGAAGAAAAGAATAAGGCTATAAAAGATGAGGTTGAGAAGCTATTTGATGCCAATTTCATTAAAGAAATCAAATATCCTACATGGCTATCCAATTTGGTTATGGTCAAAAAGAAGACAGGGAAGTGGCGCATGTGTGTCGACTTAATGGATCTCAATAGAGTATGCCTTAAATACATGTATTCATTATTGTAGATAGATCGACTCATTGATGAAACCTCATGTTACATGCTGCTCAGCTTTATGGACACCTACTCGAGATACAACCAAATTCGCATGAGCCCAGCTGATTCCCTAAAGACTGCCTTCATCACAGATTGGAGCAATTATTATTATAAAGTAATGTCATTCGGCCTCAAGAATGCGGGAGCCACTTACCAACGACTAATGGATAAGGTATTTGCCACTAAAATTGGAAGGAACCTAGAAGTATATGTAGACGACATGGTCTTCAAAACCACCATGGAGAAACGGCATGTAACAGACCTGAAAGAAACACTCGCATCCGTGAGGAGGTATGATATGAGGCTCAATCCAGACAAATGTATGTTTGGAGTTCAAGCTGGAAAATTCCCGGTGTTCATGCTTACGAACCATGGAATAGAAGCCAACCTGGACAAATGTCAAGTGATCATAGACATGTGTAGCCGTTCTTCAAAAAAAGGAGGTACAAAAATTGATAGGAACATTAGCCGCTCTATCTTGTTTTCTATCATGTGCTGGAGATAAAGTGATCCATTTCTTTGTGGTCCTCAGAAAGTAAGAGGAATTAGAATGGATAATAGTATGTGAATAGGCCTTTTAGGGAGTAAAATGCTTCATATCCTCTCCCCTAATCCTGACGAGACCAGAGGAGAACGTACCATTGACCCTATACCTAGCGGTTTCTGACAAAGATATTAACTCGGTTCTTGTTCAGGAAGGGAAGACGGGGAAAGACTGATGTGCTTCGTCAGCAAGGTTCTGAAAGGAGTTGAGCAGAACTACCAGAAGATCGAGAAGTTAGCATTAGCATTGGTAACAACAACCCGAAAGTTGAGGCATTACTTCTTTAGCAGTGAAAATTTTGAGATTAAGCCATCAATTGACTTATCTCAATGAAGTCT